AGCTGCGCCCGGTCACCAGCTGCTTGCAGAAGCACTCCCCACTGACAGGGTCACACCGACTGCCATCAGCCACCGTGCCACGGGGGTCACACTGGCACCCTGCATGGAGAGCCAGCAGTTTCCAGCAATGCCAAACCACATGCCTGACCCCAGTAGGTGCCACCCTGGTACCTACTTCGGCAGCCTTGTGGGTTGTTGGTGCTGAGGCCAAAGAAGCCGGGTTTACAGCGGTCGCAGCGGGGACCAGCCACGTGCTCCTTGCAGCGGCACTGCCCCGCAATCAGGCCCCTGGCTGAGTCATCAGCACTGTCGCACAGCCCACCATCCAGAGAACCCTCAGGGTCACAGTCACAGGCTGGAGAGACAGGCAGGGTCAGCACTGTGACCACCAAAACACCACCCTGCACAGCCTGTCCCGCACTGACCTCGGCACACCGCAGGGTCCCGCAGGTCCTTGGTGGGGTCCTTGTAGTAAAAGGGCTTGCAGAGGTGACAGCGACGGCCCATGGTGTTGTGCTGGCAGCCATCACACACAGCCCCACTGGTGTTCCCCGTGGCCAGGAACACGGCCATGTCAAAGTGGCACCTCCGTGAGTGCTCGTTGCAGTCACAGCCTGCAGGGACAGCACAGCGGCACGGCATGCGGCACCACAGCCCACATCTGGCAGGCAGCAGCCCCAGTGCCAAACCTCCCCTGCCTGGATTCTCTGCATATCCCCTTACTCTGATATGCAGCACCACAACCCCAAACCTCCCCAAAGTACAGCCTGCAGCACCCCAAAACCCCCAGCCAGTCTGCACGGTGCCAGTCACCACCAAACCACATCCCACTGTACAGTGCCCCAAAAACCCTGGCAAAGCACAGCCTGACAGCTCTGGCACCAGGTTCACTGTGCCAGGGGCTGGTGCCAGCCCTGGCACTCACGGCGACAGGCGTTGGTGCTGGAGCCCTCGGCCGGGCGCCAGGGCAGGTCTTGGTAGAAGTCCTCACAGCGCTCGCAGTTCAGCCCCTGCGTGTGATGTTTGCAGACACAGCGCCCGTGCACCTGCCAGGATGCCATGGTGAGGGGCTGTGGGACTAGGTGGCACAGCTACCTAGCTCCAGCAGGGCACACAGTCCTGGCTTGCCCTACCATGCCATCGGTGGTGGCGGGGGCTCCGCTGAGCGGGGCACACTCAGAAGCGTGCCCGTAGCAGAAGCAGTTCCCGCGCATCACCAGCTCGTAGAGCGCGTAGTAGTACTTCTCCCGGATCTCCTGTCGCGAGTCCAGCAGGTTGTCCCCCAGCGTGTGCAGCTTGGTGAGGTTCACACGCAGGTTGGTGACACGCAACAGGTCTAGGGCAGGGAGAGACCCCAGTTGGCACAGGGTGGCTGGGCACATCTATGCACAGCTCACCTCTGCCAGGCACAGGTGGGCTGGGCTGTGCATGGCACAGGAGGCTGTGGTTGGTTCAGAGAAGCTGGGTATGGCTGGGATGGGCTGTGCACAGCATGGGGCGTCTATGTAGGGCTGCATGATATGAGATTGGTCTGCTGTGGTTTTCTGTGTCACACAGTATTGGCCCAGCGCTGTGCAAGGTTTGGTTCAGAGGCAGGTGGTTGTACATGGCCAGGCTGGGCTGTACGTAGCTGTAGGGGTTCAGCTCTCACACACATAGTTGTGTACAGTCTGGCTGTGCGTGGGCTGGGCTCTGCACTCCCACAGCAGGGGCAGGCTGGGACTCCACCAGTGCAGAACAACACCCTTGGCACAGCACCTTTATATGTCTCGGGGCATTCACCACTGGGGGCTCTGCCCAGGAGATGGCTGTGCCTGGTGGATGCAGCCGGGGGCCCTGGGAAGACAGGATGGCTTCCCCAGAACTGCAGTTTCCCAGCAGCCCTGCCCTGCAGATTCTTCCCCTCCTGCTCCCAGTCTAAATTTAGCCTTGAGTGATTAACCCACTGTGTCCTGTGCCCAGCCTGACTCTCTATCTCAAACCACAGGTGGTGTTGGACTCAGCCGTGGCACAGCCATCTTCCTCCATTTAACCCAATGCAGCCTGACCTTTAGCTGCTCTCATAAGGAAGGGTGCAGAGGAGCCCAAGACCCTGAAGGCTGGATCAGGTCCTGACCCCTGTGTAGGGCCCAGAGCAGGGAGAGAGCAGCCAAAATAGCTACGCCCAAAATAGAGCAGCCAAGCAGGAGCCCAGATGGCTGGCAACTCACTTTGGATGGCAGGGCTGTAGGGGTCCCGGATGGGGATGGCAGGGTCCAGCACCCGGTAGATGACCTGGAAGGGATAGCAAGGTGATGAGAGCAGTGCAGGGGATCCCCTGACTCTCCTGGGACACTCCTAGGGCCTCACCTCCCCCTCAGTGGAGGGCTCGATGTCAGAGTAGCGAGACTCGCAGACGACATCATCAATGTGGCGTGGGGGCCCATGGGGGATGTGGGGAAAAGAGGCAGCGCAGTCGTAGGCGAAGTAGCGATACACTTTCCAGGTGTGCCCAAAATCGGCTGAGCGCTCCACCAGCATGGCAGCGGGGCGGAATGTCTGTGAGACACCCAGGTAGGATAGGGGCTAGTCCCACAGTCCCTGAGGGCGTGTTACATCGTGTCCCGTCCCACATGCTGGGACCCACCTTGAAGGTCATGATCAGATGGGTGAAGTGGAACTCAGCCTCCAGGTCCAGCTGGATGCTGACGTGCTCCACACCTGGGGATGACAAGTGGAAGCACCCGCTCACAGGTCCCGGGGGCTCGTCCCCCCAGCCGGCAGTGGTCCAGGGGCGCGGGCGCGGCCACAGG